CCTTTTGTTCTTCAGTCTAGTTGTGGAGGACGTTGCTTCACTGGCCCAAGTTGGCACCATCATTGCGCTCTTCCTGGGCGAGGCAGATCAGTTGCCGGCTTCTGGACGGCCGCTCATGGCGGCTGCTGGCCGCTCAGGCTGGCTGCTGGCTACACATGGTAGCCCATGGCAGCCCACTGCAGCAGCTGTCGCTGGCAACTCACGGCAGCCCACCTCCATGTTGAGCTGTTGTTCAGCATCTTAGCTGTAGAGGGCCGTGTCACTGGCCCTCATATGTGGGATCCGAACTGGGGACCTCTGGCGTCCCAAACCAGCTCTTAACCACCGCGCCACTCGGCCGGCCCAGGCCAGACTGAATTTAGGGTGAAAGATTATGAAGTCTGCCATGGGCTAGATCCATGTGGCTGCTGTGCATGAGCTTATAAGAGTTTAGGACCTGGAGTAAGCACTAATTTAACTTGTTGATATCCTGTGGCTTGCCCTGCCAACTTAGAAGTCCAAATGGCCCCTCCAACCTGGAATCCAAGTGATATCTTTTTCACCATGCATTCCTATCACCAAACTGGGTCCTGGAGAACCCAAGTGGTGACAGTTTCAGGGTGAAGCCTGGGAAGCACCTTTGTTTCTAGAAGACAAAGTCACTTTACAGACCTTTGAATTCTTTAAGGTATAATTACTTGTGCAGATAAGGGGAAAATAATGGGTATAATCCAGTAGATTTTCCAAGACATCTGATGAGGCATCCTACCTAAGACTACTTTTAAAAATTGGGGGGAGATTCTGTGATAGGAACTGGTTGAGAGAGATAACTTGGTGACTTCTGGATGGGAATATGTAGACTTTGGGGTTTTCATAGAGCCAGTCTCCCTTTTACATAATTATGAATGGTCCATATTTGGGGCTGTACTTTTGAGACCAGAGCTGACTGGGAGAGGCCATGCCCAACTTCAGACTGGTTTGCAGGAAATGCCCCAGAACTGTAGGACAGTGTAGTAAGAGATAGGAAGGACAGAAAAGGAAATCATTCTGGTTCTAGTCACTAGAGAATGAGCATAGAAAAAGAGCCAGGGAATCACTGTGAATTAGCACCTACATTGGCAGGGCCTGTTGCTCCTGGGCCCAGAGAGGCAAGTGGAAATCATGGTCCTCAGAGGCTACTTAACTGCTGCCCTCTCCCAGTAAAGGATCCCCTCTAACTGAGGCTTGCATGCAGTGCTGGACAGGGCCCTCCCTACTTTGCAGAGGAGAGGCATCCCTTTGGGCAGACAGTCTTCTAGGAGCCTGGTTGGCTGGTGGAGTGCAGCCAGGATTTTAGTAACCTCCTTTGCCCTCTTGGCCAAGCTACTCTGTGCAGGATACAAACTGCACCAAATGTGGGTGACAAGGACTTTGGTAACCAAAACAAATGTAGCAACCAGCCACATACTAAGGAGATTGGATGATACCATGCTTCTATTTTTCCTACCACTGATGTTCAGTTGTTATGTATGGCCCTTCAAGGGCAACAGATCTAAGTCTGATTTTTGCTATATATTCACAGTATGACCTAAGGTGACTCAGTTTCCCCAGATGTCAGTCACATGGAAACCCAAGGCTGTTGGGAAGATTCACTAAGTGTAAAGCATGCATGGTGATGAGGAGTGAAATAGGAGACAGGTGAAAGCAGTTGTACCCATCCTATTTGGGTCTTTTCTTCCTCCTCTTTCCCCCCTGACAGGTGAAGACTCCAGATGAGTCCCGCAGTGTGGGCCGCATCAGCAAGCAGTGGGGGGGGCTACTTCGAGAAGCCTTGACAGATGCAGATGACTTCGGCTTGCAGTTCCCAATGGATCTGGACGTGAAGGTGAAGGCTGTACTTCTGGGAGCGACATTCCTCATTGTGAGTTGGCTGTCTGTCTTGATTTCACTGGAGGCTTTTTGCACTTCCTGGCCTCCTGTTAGGAGAGGGTTAGGGACAGACTTTATGGGGGTGGGGAGGTGGGTTGCAGTTTCTCCTGCTAGGAGAGGGTTAGGGACAGACTTTACGGGGGGGTTGCAGTTCTAGTCTGGCCCAGCCAGATCTCCTGTTGATAGTGCCCTCCCCTCAGGACTACATGTTCTTCGAGAAGCGAGGAGGTGCTGGGCCCTCTGCCATCACCAGTTAGAGACTGCTTCAGGGTGAGGAGACCATCACTTCAAACAGAATTCAAGATGGTCACCTGCCCTGGCCTGGCCCGTCCTCAGAGGCAGCCCCTTTCCCCCATGTACACTGCAGGAGACAGACAGGGGTGCCTGAGAGGCTGGGGGCTATGGTGCCCCATCCCTTTCCTACTCCCCTGGCCTCCTTCACCTGTGGCCCCACAAAAGGGTATGTATGAGAGCCCTTCCCCTGCTACCTCGCACCACTGCCTCCGGCAATTCCTCGGCAATCCCTCAGCACACAGGCACATCGGCTTTCAAACTTTCCCTACTCACTCCCTCCCACCCTGTTCCAGGGCCTCTGCCCTGAATGAGGCTTTTAGAATCCAGGGCTCTGGGGTTTTACAACAGAGCTGGGGTGGGGAAGGGTAAGCAGCACCAAAGATGGTAGATAACGGCCACCCTTCCTTGCATCAGCTTGGCCAATTAGTTCAGCCTCAGACCATGGCACTTGGAGGGATCCCCATTTTCCCGCCAAAAGCTCTAGGGCCTAGAGCCCAGTGCCACCTTCCTTTCCCCCTTGGACCCTGCCCACCGCTGGTGCTTGCTGAAGCTTCCTGTGCCTTACTTAACCACCCCCTCCTTCCCTGTCCCTACAAAGGAGGCTGCATCTTTGTATGTTATATTCATATAAACTTTGTAACATTTTGGAAATTGGAAGATGTATATAATGGGAGAGGATAGAAGAAAGAGTTGGTGTGGGAAGAAACAAAGGGAAATATGACATGGGCTGGGCGGGGGCTGGCCCACCTAATAATCCATACTACCAAGATCAAGTGTCCTTGCATCCAAGAGAGCAACTTTCATCACCCATGATGGCCCCGGCCCAAGCCAAGGCAGTTTGGGCCATGTGCCCCAAGCCTATTTGGCTGCTTCCATCATCCAAGATGGGTGCTCCCACAAGAGCCCAGTGTGATAGTTGAGGGCAGTTCAGGATGGCTGTTCCCATATGGCCACTTGATCATTCTCTGTAGAAGTAGAAGCTTCCTGTGGGTATGAAGTGTAGCAGCTGTGTTCCTCCAAGTTCTCTTGGTTGGAAAAGTGGGCAGAGTGGACTATATCCTTCTATGACCCAGCCAAGGGACCTTGAGCCCTCAGAGGCCAAGGGGCAGAGGAGGAAGAAATACTCATCTGTGCCTGACCTTGGGCTCCTCCTGTACTTGCCTATAGCAGGCTCTTCTCAAGTGGGAAAGTCTGCCTGTCAGGACCTTGTTCTGATTCTGCTTGGTCCCATATAGTCAGGCCCTTGGTGCATGCTGGTGTCCATGCCCAAGGGAGCAGAGCTTAGGGCCGAGCCAGGACATAGCGACTGGCTGCTGAGAGGTCCCACTGGTAATGTTCCAAAATGCGCCAGCAGTCTGCTCTGGATCGGCTACTCAAATAGAAGAGCTGGTCCACCTGTAAAAGCAGAAGGGCGGACAGCTGACTGTCAGAGAGCAGGGGCAGAAGAGGTAGGAACCCAAGAGAAGTGCCTGGCTTTACCTTGAGGTTCCGTATGGCAGAAACCACATCTCCCCCAGTAGCTCTTAATACTGTCTGGCACTCCTGGTGGGTGACTCCATGCACGTTCAGCTCCACCTGCAGGGGAGAAAGCCTCACTTAGGTTCCTACTCCAGCCTCCCAGCCTGTAGCCCCTTCTGGTCACCAAGCCACTTCAGGGAGACCTCACCTCCATAACCCTCCTCTGAAACTCGGAGTCGGACAAAAGGCCTCCAGAGGGGACGGTGGCTTTGCTGGCTCCAGGCATTCCCATGGGGTGGTTTTGCTGTGGTTCTCTTTTGGGTCCGGTAGGCCACTCCCTAGGTGATTGCCTGGGCTGAGAAGAGCTGGAGGCAAAGGGAGGGCAGGGTCGCAGGCCTGGAGGTCCCTGAGGCACAGCTCTGGCGTGTCGAAGTTCTGGGGGGCTTGAACCACCCCCTGTGGGGCGGGGGCCCAGAGATAGAATGGATTCCATACTCTTGGAAATGCCTGCATAGTTGAGAAAGAAACCACTTGAGAGGAAGCCTAGATGCTGGACCCTGCCTTCTTCCTGTTCTCTGTCTACCTGTGCTGTCCTCAGGTTGTCCTTGTGTTAGGTGGGACAATAAGACAGGTGTGCAGAACAGACATCTAGGCCTAGGCAATGAGGACCCAAAGAACTGAGAATGCAGTGGGGAAGTACAGCTGGGATATCAACAGGCAGAATGATGTGGGGAAAGAAAATCATATGTGGGGAAATCACATGGGCAAAGGCATGGATTTAGAGCAGGGTGCACAACTGGAGGGTTGTTCCTTTTTTTTTTTGGGTGGGGGGTGGAAACTGTTTTTTTCCAAAACCCATCAGTTCCAAGTCAAGTAGTTGTTTCAATTTAGTTGCGGAGGGCACAGCTCAGTGGCCCGTGTGGGGATCAAACCGGCAACCTTGGTGTTATGAGCACTGCGCTCTAACCAACTAAGCTAACCGGCCACCCCTGGAGGGGTCGTTCTTGATCTCCTCACAGACCTTGGGGACTCTGCCCCAACCACACCCACCTTTTATCCTCTGCAGGGGCACAACGTTCCTTCCCTGACCCCGTGCCAGAGGTAACTCCCGAAGCTTTGTCTTTGCTCTGTCCCTGTTGGAGAGTGATCCAGTTCAATCGCCACTCCAGCCCCACCCCACATATCAATGTCCCCTCCCAAATAATCTCTGGGGCAAACTGAGACCCAGAGTGGAAGCTCCAGCTGGAAGGCAAGTCTAGCCTCCCCTCCAGCTTCACCCTGGCCCCTCCTCAAGCTTCCCTTTCCAGAGCAGTTGCTGAACTTGGTTGGTTCCCCCAGCCTAGTTCTGTCCCCCACTTTTTCAGATCCTCACCCATCTATGCTTCCTCTGCGTTGCTCTTCCCGGGCAGGGGAGCCTCTGTGGATTGGACGGGTGGTTGGTGAGGCCCTCAAATCTGCCAGCATCACTGCGGAGGCTGGGAAGTTGCCCACTTTGAATGTGCGACCATTCTGGCCCTTCCAGGTTGTGGAGCTGGGGCTGTGGGAAGAGGCACTGGTGAATGAGATGTGAGCAAGGAGGGAGTGGGGGCTGGGCTCCTGTTGCGTTCAGCTCACAAGGTGTGTGCCATGGATCTACATCTGCCTGGAGGAAGGAAAGCCTTTCTCTTTCTAATACAAAAGGGCTCTATGGGCCAATGGTGGCTCCAGTGGGGAGGCCAGGACTGTGATAGAACTCTCAGGGTCCAGTAGGGAGAGGAGTAAATGAAGCAGAGGATAAGGGTTCAAGGAGCTGGGGAAAAGCAGCAAAGGGACCAAGGTCAGGAAGGCTGGGGATGTGTAGGAGACGAGGCTCTCACCTGCTCTCGATGATAGTGATGGGATCATCAGGCTCCATTCTCAAGGCACCTGGCTCTGTGACATCCCGTACACAATGCCCCTCAGGAGGCCAGGCCTATAGAGACAGGAGGAAAGTGTGGCTGGGCTTGTGGCCTCAGTCAGAAGAATATCACGGGAGCAGGGAAGAAAGGAGACTTCTCTGTTTATGCACCCACCAATCAAACCCATATCAGGTGTGTCCTCTGTCTTGGGCCCAGGATGGGACTGCCCCTGTCCCCCAAGTATAGTGCAATGGGGGAGGCAGACCTAGATTCCATGCCAAGCTGGACACAGCCCAGAGGTGAGGGAGCAATGGGGGGTGGGGGGGGGGTGCTGTCTCTACCTAGGGAGATCAAGGGGAGTATCATCCTGTATATTGCTTTTACTCCACACTCAGGCCTATCACATCTGCCTCCCAAGCACCTCTACAAATTTTCCATTCTCTCCAGCCCCACTGTCTCAGCCCTCATCCAGTTCTCTTCATCTCACTTCTGCTTCACAGCCACTATCGCCTACCTGGTCTTCCCATCTTCAGTATCATCCCTCTAATCCATTCCTGCACCAAGCTAGAATGATACAATATGTAAAATTGGCTTGTAACTTCCTTAATCAAAACTCTTCCATGGCACCCAGGTGCCCTCAGAGTAAAGATTAAACTCCTTTAACAGTATAGTGATTTAGGGAATAGCTCTGAAGTCAGATTGACTGGTTCAGATCCCAACTCCTCCACTTACGTGTGACTTTAGGCAAGTCACTTAAAACTCTCAGTGCCTTAACTGCCCCATCTGTAAAATCAAGATAACAATGAAGTTATTAGCTTGTGAATATTTAATGAGTAAACATGCATAAGGATACATACATGTAAGGCACTTGTTAGTACAGTATCTTAACAGATCATGTGCTCTATATGTTAGCTCTGGTAATTTATCGTTCCTTACAAATCCCTCCCTGGGAAAGCCCCTGAGCACCTCTGCTGCCTTAGTTGCTTGTACTTCCCCTTCTCATGCTTGTCAAATACCCACATACCCAAAGCAGTAAATTTACTGCTCTCTGCTTTGTGCTCCCCCGTTCTCTGGCCCAGCCCTAGCCCTAGCCCCCAGCCCTTCGGCCTGCATCTATGTAGTCACAAGCTGCCTCCCCAAGGTTCTTAGCGCCCTACAGGTATGGACTGAATCTGTTCTGTTCGGAGACCCCACCCAGCCCAGAAGTATTTGTGCATGGAACCCTGGGAGAGAGAATGGAGGGAAGAGGGACTGAGTGTTCTGGGGAGGCAAGGGTTCCCACCTCTTGGAGCAGCCCTTCCAGGCAGGAGAAGCTAGGCCGGTCAGCAGGGTGGGGAGCCCAGCAGCGCAAGGCGAGGGCGTAGAGGGCCCTGGAGCAGAAAGGAGGCCTAGGCAGCCGGGCCTGGTCCTTCTCTAGCAGCTGCAGGATGAGGTATGGCGGGACCCCGGCCCAGGGCTCCTCGCCCCCGGAAAACATCTCCCACAGCGTCACTCCAAACATCCACACATCTGAGGCAGAAGAGAAGGCCCCCTGGCGCAGGCTCTCTGGAGCACACCTGCAGCAGAAGTGATGCTGAAGGGGGCTGGATCTGTGCCCCTCGGAGCTCCCACCTTCCACTGAGCGTGGCTCCTGTCCTCTCATCACCCTCAAAAGTCCTCCTTTCCGAGCCCTTCCAGACCGGTCCACTCCTTTGGGCCCAGCCTCCCTCGAGGACCAGTTGCCTCCGCACTCTCCCTTTGCTAGGTACTGCCCTCCAGATCCACACCCTCCAGCCGGCCGGGGATTCGAGACCAACCACCATGGGCCCGCCCCTCACCAGGCATAAGGGATGGGGCGGGGCCCGCCCATGACGTAGCGGCCCCGGGCACCGCCCAGCGGCCGCACCAGCCCGAAGTCGGCCACCTTGATCATGCGCGGTGAAGCCAGCAGTAGGTTGCGTGTAGCGAGGTCCCGGTGCACTAGCCCACGGGCCCCCAGGTACGCCATGGCCCCGGCCAACTGCCTCAGGAAGAGGCAGAGCAAGGCCACGGGCAGCGGGGGTGTAGGGGCTGGAGCGGTTAGGCGTGTGTGCAGAGAGCCCAGTGGCGCCAGCTCCATCACCTGCGGGAGAACAGCGCTGCGTGAGCTTTGGCCTGGCCCCACAGGACACTGGCCTCCCACTCTCCTGTCGCACTTCAGCCCTGCGGCTTTCTTGGGAGCCAGAGTGCAAGTCCGCTCACCATCTGCAGAGGCCGGCCCAGTACCAGTCCGTGCAGACGTAGCACGTGTGGGTGCTCCAAGTTCATCATGACGGACACCTCTCGCAGGAAGTCCCTCAGCTCTGTGCCCACAGGGCCTTCGGGAGCCACCCGGAGGGACTTGACAGCCACTGGGACCTGGGGTTGGGGGGAGACACCATCAGGAACCCTAGGGGACAACTACTCCAGGGCAGAAGAACAGAGGGGGCAGCTGGCCCAGGTACCCAGAATGAAATAGGCTCCCTAGGTACTTACACTCTTGCCACTGGGCAGTGTCCACAGCCCTCGGTGCACCACACCAAAGCAGCCGGAGCCCAGCAGCTCCCCTCTGCACACAGCACTATCTGGGATTAGACACTTGAGTCCCCCCTCTGGTTCACAGAGGGACGGAGGGCTGTCTGAGGGTGGCATGGTCTCCTTTTGCTCAGGGGCAAACCCCCCAAGGATCTGAAACAGATGGGAAATCTGGTGTACAGAGCCCTGTATACTCCTCCCTGCCACCCAGCCCACCCCATTTCCAAGACTAAGTTGGCCCTTTAAGCCTCTACTCCCACCCCAAAACACAGACCTTGTAGACCCAGTTCTTAGGCTTGTGCCTGGAGCGGTGCCTCTTCAGAGCTTCAGCCAGTCTGCGCTGGGCTGGGGGAAGCCAGAATAAGGGCTGGGCTATTAGGGGGTGGGGGCATGATGCAAGGGATTTATAAGCAAGAAGAGGGCTGGTGTAAGGGGAGAGAGGGGGGAGGGAGAGGTAGCAACTAATAGGTTAGGGAAGGAGAAACCAGGGCCTCAGAGCAGGGGTCCCTCACCTGGCCGGCCCATGCCAATACTGTCCAGGTCCTCAGGTCTTACAAAGTCGAAGTGCTCCAGCTGAGTAACATTCAGCTCCTCAAGGATGGGTCGGTAAAACTGGGCCAGCTGGATGTCCCGGAGTAGCCTCAGCAGCCACAGGGAGCCTACATCTGGGAGCATGTCTGCAGAAGGAACTCCTAGGGATGGCACACTCTCCTCCAGACACATAGTCCAGGGTAGGCACCTGAGACACTCAGACACCAGAGATGTGGTCACCAGCTCCACCATCAACCCATCAGAAACACTCAGGTAAAGAAGGAGGGACACATCAGAGTCAGCCAGGTATCCTGCCATTCATATACACAGACCACAGGAAAAATATTCTTCATATATGAAACAGATCCTCTACCACACATCCCCACCACCACCACCACCACTGAGAAACCTGCCCTCTTCACACCTGAGATTTTAGCATTGCGGACTTCAGGTTTGTTGCCCTGCTCACTCTTAAGATACTATGGCACAGTGCCTCTGTACCCCTAGGAACCCAGAGACACTGCCCTTTCAGACCTGAGGTCTACACTGCAGATACTACACATACACCCGAGATACTTATATACACATGAGACATTTTGTCCTACCATATACACACCAGAGATGCTCAGGTATGCTAACCACACCACACCTCAGACATGCAGGTACACATACACATGCATGTGCACACACATGAAGGCACACTGCCTCCCACACCCAGATACACTGAAACACACACACACACAATGAGACCTCCAGATATGCTGCAAAAGATGCCTGAGACACCCAGATATGTGTCGTCTCACATTTGAAATGTTCCAGTATGCTGCCATTAAACACCCAGGCTTACTGCCACATACCATCTCACATTCATGTACTTGAGACAGGGCAGTTCACTGCCCCAAGATACACCACTCCACACATCTGAGACACCAAGGTCCACATAAACACACACAACGCTCAAGACATAATGTATACATGGAGTAGAGTGTGGGAACGGATTCAATGGAATTGTAATAGATAAGCATGATACCGGGGGTGGGAGGGCAGTGGTTGGGGG